AAAAAAATCTGTATTTTAAAAGCACGCTTGCATGGGTATATTAAAATTGTGTCAGTGACTTACTTTATAATACTCTAAAATGCTTAAGCAGGGTCCAGGGAGACAGCTCCGTGGCATAAGCACCTGCCTGGCAAGTGCTAGGTCCTGAGTTCAATCCCCAGTACAAAAATAAAATAAAATGCTTAAGCAAATAAAAATGTGATAGATGCAAAAAGCTGAAATAAATATTTGTCAATTAACTTAGGAAAAAACAAAAGACGCAAATGAAGATGTGTAATGCCTGTGTATCAACACCTCACAAAGCCCGTGAGCACTAAGTACTGCCAAGGTGCGTTACTAATCAAGCGCTCCTGTCTGAAAGCCCACGCAAATCCTACGACATTGGGACTTTCCGGACCTGGGAACAACCTAGATTCAGCACAGTAACTTGGGTTCATCTTGTCTTCAGCAGACCAGAATGAGAAGAAGTCAAACCAAACACTTTCTGAAGGAAAATTTTCAGGTCCAGAAGATTCTCCGGTCCTCCCTCCTGCAGCAGGGGCAAAGTCAGGTTCACGCCCAGCCAGAGCCTGGCTGACTGGTGTTATTGGAGTCAGATAATCCCTAAAATCCAGAATGCTCCTCCTGACCACCTCTCTTCTATGTGGTGCTTTAATCTCCATCCAAACGCAAAATACCACTTCCCTACCCGGGGTTCCTCAGAGATGCCTATGGGTTTTTAAGGGGACCTGGAGCCATGAGGCTGGATTCTGAGCCCTGCCTTTGTGTCTGGCAGGGCAGGGCTCTTCTGTGGCTGGTCTGACCCACGCAGTGATGGGCAGAAGCCTTAGGAGGTGACAGCTTTCACTTCCTGTCCTCGGGAGCACTTCTGCTTGGAGCTCTGAGCTGCCATTCAGCACTGTCAGTTACACAGAGCTGGTGCGTTTCAGTGAGCCCAGCCCATGCTGCCAGGAGGGAAAACTCCCTCTCTGTCCATCTCTCCAGCCTGCCCGGTCCCGGCCGAAGACGCACAAGTGATGGAAGCTTCAGCAGCTGTGGCTACAGGGGCCACCAGCCCTCCACAGTGGGAGCCACCCACTGGAGCTGTCAGCCAAGGGCACCTACAGAGAAGGTCTCATTTGCTTTAGCAAGTTAGTTTTGGGGTGTCTTGCTTTCAGCAAAAGGTAACTGAAAGTCAGTACTAGATTTCACCCCAAAGTACCCCATAAAGAAGGGGTTGACCAGAAAGGAGATTAAGGGAAATCAGAAAGAGATAAGCTTGCCACAACAAAACCACAAACCAAAGAGTAAGTGAGGTGAAAAGGAATAGGAAAGGCTGGATGTGACCGTGCGCACCTGTGATCCCAGCACTCGAGAGGCCGAGGCAAAAGGATTGCTGCGAATTTGAGGCCAGCCCGGGCTGCAAAGCAAGTGCAAGTTCAGCCTGAACTGTATAGTGAAACCCTGTCTGAAAAAGACAAAAGAAAGGAAGAGAAAGAATAAAGAAGAGAAAGAAAAAAAAGAGATGAAAGATCACATAAAACTGATACTTAGACTTTTTTGGTGTGTGTGTGTGTGTGTGTGTGTGTGTGTGTTGCTGGGGACTGAGCTCAGGGCCAGCCCACAGTACTACAACTTCCAAGCCCCCCCCCCCTCCTTTTTTTATTTTGAGCCAGGATCTCTCGAAATTGCCTGGGCTGGGCTAGATTTGTGATTCTTCTGCCTCAGCCTCCCAGGCTTGTGTCACCAAATCTACCTTGTTTGGTACCCTCGATATTTCTTTCTTTCTTTTCTTTTTCTTTTTTTTCTTTCTTTCTTTCTTTTTCTTTTCTTTTGGTGGAACTGGGGATTGAACTCAGGCCCTTGTACTTGCCGGGCAAGCGCTTATTCTACTGAGCCATCTCCCAGGCCACTATTTATTTCTTTAAATACATTTAATTAAATACAAAGAGCTTTTAAACATTCATACTATTCTGTGGGAGTCATCATTATTCTAAATATTTGTCCTTGATCTGATTTTTCTGGGCTATATCGAGCGACTTTCTGCAATCAAATTACTACCAGGAGAAGAGGGGAAGCCAGGAGATTGGGCTAGGAGGACACCCAGGGAGGGACCGAGGTCCGATGGGCGCTTAGGGTCCAGGCGCCAGTCTAATGTTGACTAAGTGAACCCGGGTCTTCATTGTCCGGGTGAGGAAATCTGAGGTCCCAAGAGGCAACACCCCGCCCAGGGCCGCGGACTAGGACAGGGGAGGCCAGGGAGGCAAGCCGGGCGCCGCGCAGCACCCACCTGGGCTGGAAGCGCCGGCCCCACCTCCGCAGGGTCTCGGGGCGCAGCGCGGCCTCCGCCTGCCGCAGCTTCCCCGGGTCGGGCAGCACGAGCAGCAGCCGCGCGTGGCCGCTGTACTCGAGCTGGAGCACGGTGCTCGCCGCCTGCTGGTCGTACAGGAACCTGTGCATCCCCCGCTGCTGCATCAGGGGCGCGCGCGGCGACGAGCCCCTCTCGTCCTGCTTCCGGGGCTGGTAGCGGTCGAAAGGATGCTTCCACTTGGCTGGGGACGCGAACCGCGACACCGTGAGGACGTTCCGAGAGAGAGGGAGCCCCAGGGCCACGCGGGAGGAGACTTCCGCCAGGGCGCCCACGCCCGAGGGGACCAAGGGGCAGGGATCTAGAGCCGAGGGGCCTGTGGGAGCCGCGGGGCACAAGGGGAAGCGAGGAGACTGGGGCCAGGAGGGCGCCTTGGGAGGGATGTCCCAAGAGGTGAGACTTCCCCCACAAGGCTTGTAATCTGCCGCATCCCTCCTCCAGGTACTGGTCTTAAGACAGGTGAAGGGGACTGAATCCCCCATCCCCACGCAGCGCGCGCGCCCACACACACACACCCACACACCCCAGTCAAGGACCAATTGTTGATTCTACTTACAAAGCCAGGGCTTTGATTCCAGGCCACTGTCACACTTTTGACCCCTGAAAGAACCTCTTAATGTGTTTCCCACCCTTGCTTCCACCCACTGTCCAAACTGTTCCCTGACTGGTGTGACCATTTTTTCCAAGAGGATCTCACTGTTTTCCTGTCTGGCCTCAAATTCCCGGATTCAAGTATCCTTCTGCCTCAACCTCCCAAGCAACTGAGGCTCTAGGCATCTGGCCAGACTGAGCCTTCTGAAACGAAGGTATGTGTGGTTTTCTACCACTTAGGACTGGGCATTGCTGTAGCTCCCTGAGTAGGGGCCAGGGTCCTCCAGGTGGTCCCTGTTTGCTCAGCTTTACAGCTCTCGCTGCCTTCCCACATTGCATCCTGGTTGAACTCAGTCAGCTTGGGTTCTTTGAAAAATGTTCTTTTCCTTGGTGTTTTGTTCAAGCCAAACCTCTTCTCCCACCTCTCGCCCAGCCTCTTGGTCTGCACTGACCCACGCATCCTGCCCGTCTCCCCTAGATGCCTCCTCTTCCAGGATCCTCCCTCTCTCCCCACACCAGGACCCAGACCATGCCACAAGGGCACCACTGTTATCTGTCTAACATGCGTGGCCTCTCATTGACAAACCACACAGGATCTGAGCTGCACAACGGCAAGAAAACTCTCATGTTCCTGGATGTTTCCAAAAGGCCAGCCGGGTGCCAGGGGCTGTGGCACAGAGCCCTTGGCTGTCCAGGCAGCGGGTGCGCTCGCTCGCTCACAGAGCCAGTGGCCCTGCCTCTGCCGGCCTGAGACCTCACCTTTGAAGAAGATGTAGTTCAGGAGAACCATGAATGTGTCGTGGCCCAGCTCCGGGAAGCAGTCTGACACTCGCCCGTAGGTCTGCTTCTTTACAAACTCGTTGATCTGCCTCCCAGTTGTGGCCGAATCGGTGAAGTTGGCAGAGAAAGCCACAGCTCCATACATCTCCTTGATGCTGTCCAAAAAGCGCTGCTGAGGCTTCAGCTGCTTGTCCAGGAACAAGGAGTTGCCCACCTTCAGTTCGAATTTGGGACTGGGCAGGTCAAGGGTGTGGAGGAGGCTCTGGAAGCCCCGGTGGATGTCGGTGCTTGGGGTCTCTGTGAGGTTGAAGCCTAGGCCCTCCAGGATCTCAGTCTGGGTGTCACCGTGGGCCCCCAGGGCCAGCAGGGCCAGGGTGCTGGAGATGCTCACTGGGGAGAAGAGGATGTTTCCTGGGTTGTGTGCCGCCAGCTGCCTATACAGGCGCAAAGCAAAACTGGTAACGGTGGGCGCAACTCTGTGGTGGGCAGGGGCTAGCTCTGCGAGCTGGTGGCTGGGGGGCTGTGGCACCCCGGGGCTGTTGTCTCCATGGGTGGGAAAGGGCTGACAGCAGACAGAGGCCAGGACTCCGGCTCCCAGCAGCCACGGCCACACTGGGCCCATTCTCTGAAAACAAGATGGCGGACATGTCACTCTTCATGAACGACTTCATCATTGCCTGTTGCTCACTCAGCGACCCCACCACTCCAGCTGTATCACGAGGGATGCCACAGGTGTTCCCACCACAGTGAACAAGATGTGGAGGCGCACTTAGGACTGTGGACACAGCCCTCCAAGTCCTTGGTCAGAGCAGTGGACCTTCAGCTGCTGACAGATTTTGTTGAGTTAAAGTCTCTGAGCTACAAATAAACTTCCACAGTCTTCCTCTCTTTGCCCTTCCCTTCTCCCTTCTCCTTCTTCCCGCCCTTCTTTCCTTTTCTTTTTTCTTTTCAGCCATGTTCAATCATTCATGACTTCAAGGATCTCTCTGGCCCACGCAGAGCTCTAAGTACTGGCTATCTAAAGGGGAAAGAAAGAATCATAATTCCTGACTCCATAGAAAGCTACGAAAAAAAAATTATATATAAAAAAAAAAAGGATAAAAAAGGGGCTGGGGAGATGGCTCAGTGGAATAAGCGCTTCCCTAGCAAGCGCAAGAATCTGAGTTCAATCCCCGGTTCTGCCAAAAAAAAAAAAAAAAAAAAAAAAAAAAGCATAGAAAGCTATGAGCAGTTGTTCTGGGCACTGTGGGCTGTGAGGGATGTTGGGCTCCCTGGAACCCAGCCCTGACCAGGAACTGTAAAGAAAGGGGCACATGCTAGGGACAAGAGGGGCACCCTTCTTCTTCTGTCCTTCCACTAGCTCAAGCGAGGCTGTGATGGTCAGGCAGCAGGACCATGCACATGAAGGCAGCCCGTGAAGAAGAGAAAGACATGGGGCCTGGGAGGAGAGGTGACAGAGAGGTCACTGTCTCCATGTCTCCATCAAGCCACTACTACCTGGCATGACACACACTGCCATGTCCAGTGGCTGACAGTTCCTGTTTACGTAGTGCGGGGGTTTAGAAACAGTGTCTGTCGGGGGCGAACTGTGTCTCCCTAGAGCTTGCGCTGTCTTCCCAGCCTGCAGGACCACGGAACGAGATCTTCCTTGGAAGGAGGGTCACTGGAGCTGTCATTAGTTAAGACAAAGTCACTGAGCAGCTCCTAGTCCACTGTGACTGGTGTTCTTATCAGAAGGGAGACTTTGAACACAGGGACACTCAGACAGCACCACGTGAAGGCATGGGCAGGGCCTGGGAAAGTTTGCAATCTGAGAAATGCCAGCGATCCCAGCAGGAGAAGCCAAGGAAGGGCCCTGGACCAGATTTTTCTCTTGGCCTCGGGAGGAACCAGTCTGGTCACTTTGTCAAGCCAGCCCTTGCAAATTTATAGGACAGCTCTGAAGATGGCCTGCACAGCTGCCCGTGACCACTAAGGGCAGCATGGTGCAAGAGGTGGAGCCCCCCTCCCCCCTTCATGGCTGATGTAGGCAGGGAGAGAGCTGTATGGACAAGGCCGTGTGTGCTCTCCTGCCCGTGTTGTCCATTCCCTTTCAGCTGCCCCCCCCTCCCCAAAGCCCTGCGGTAGACACACTACCACCTGGACCCTCCGCACCCTGGTCTTCTTCTGCTCCCCTCAACCCTCCCCTTCCACCTGGCCGCCCACTACCAGCCACTCGCTGACCACCACCCATCAGTGTCACTAGCTTGACCTGAAAACACCTGCATCTTGGCCAGCACCTTAATGCTCTCCACCAAAACCAGTGACCTCTGGACGAGGGACAGCTGCAGCACCGTGAGGGAGCGCACAGCGTTGGAGACGGCTTGTAGCCTCCAGCACCCTAGATATGCTGCCCAGACACAAAGGCCAGCGTTCAGGAAGTGACGGACGCTCTCTGCTCACCCCTTATGTTGAAATGCAGTTGCTGGTCAAAGTGCAGTGGACGCTTCCCCCGAGTAGTCCCCTCCCTCCTGCACAGCCCTGCTGTCAGTGGCTTGGTGACAGTTCCTTGATGGAAACACTTGAAAGATGCAGAATCGTTTAAAACTTGGCCTGCACTGGGTACAATGAGAAATGCAGTGGAGGGGAAACTGTTTCTGGGTTGCTCCATGCTCCTGTTAACTTGGCCCACTTCCCACCTTAGTACACCCCGAGCAAGGCCCAGATCCACTCGGGGTCTGCTCCCAAAGAGGACTGCAAAGGGCTGGCCAGACAGCTCAGAGGACTAAAGCGCCTGTTTAGGCAGGCCCAGTGACCAACCAGTGCTCAATCCCTGGCGTGCCGTGCCGGCCCCACGCCTGGGGCATGCTGAGATGTGATTGAGACCGGGCGTGGTGGCATGGGCCTGTAATCCCAGCTCTTGGGAGGCTGAAAACAGGAGAATCATTATGAATCTGATCTGTGTAGTAAGACCCTGTACTAAATACATTAAAAAAAAAAAAAAAAAAAAAGCATCCAGAGGACTGCATTGTAGGCAAGAGCCTGAGTTTTAATGAAAGTGACTTACTGTGTGACAGTCCTTTGAAATCCAGTCTCTTCAAAAAATGCAAGTGGGATGCCTGCTTGTGTGTGTAGGGGGGGAGGGGGTTCCCTAAGCTATGTATGTGACTGTCTCAGTTACTTTTCTCTTGTTTCTGGGACAAATACCCAACACCCAAAATGAAGGAAGGAAAGGTTTGTTTAGCTCACAGTTAGTGGAGGTAAGTTCAGCTTGCTCCAAGGCAGAACAGGGCAAACTTTCATGGCAGCAGCGAAGAACAGAGAGCAAAAGGAGTGGCAGCAGCTCAGGCAGCTAGCAGCCTCTGTCCCCTCCTCACATTGTACCCCAGGGAATCGGCCCCAGGGCACTCACACCCATAATCCCAGCATTGGATCAAGAATCCATCACACACTCCAGAAGCTGCCCCATGACTGCATGAGGCTTTGGGGGACAAGACACAAACCTTAATAGTGACAATCCTGTGTAGATCTGGCATGTAGAAAGCACACAGCGAGAGTTTTCTTCCCTCTGTATCAAAACTGGCAATACGATAGTTTGTACTCCTAGAATATTCCAGAAGAAAATTAAGGACATTATTCATTAACCATAGTATTCCCATTTATTAAGCATTATGAAAGCATGCTAGTTTGTAAGTGTGTCAGGAGGGGGCGTGTTGCTCTGGTCATCTTGGCCACTGGGCCTTAGTAGGTGACGCAAGTGTGTCAGAGCTGTGAGGACACCCAGCAGAGCCGCGCATCCTGAGGAACGACCCAGCCCAAGAGCTCTTGTGTGGAGAAACAAATGCTCAATTTGGGTTGTTTCATCAAATCCTCGGGGCACAGGGGTTCTTACCTGCGGTATACTTGGGGACACTGAGACTCAGGGTGAGGGCGAACACCTGGTCAGAAGGAGGAACAAGTTTTAGCGCTAGATAGGGGCTTTTGAGAAAGACCCTGGTCACGCACCAAGCTCCCAGGAAGTAGAGTCATTTCACTTGGGGTCGCTCCTTGTGTGCTCTTGTCAGGCCACCAGAGATACTCAGATTTGCTCTCTCACGGTCTGGAAGACCGAGTTTCGGCTAAGAGGCTGTTGAACACTCAGAGTTCCAACTTCAGACTCTGAGGCAGTATTCGCACTCTTTTCCTTCAGGGGATCTGATGCTCCCATCCCTGTCTCTAAATTAAGAGAAAGAGATGACAGACACAGACAGACAGACAGACAGACAGACAGACAGACAGACAGACAGAGACAGATGAGGTGGGGAGGGCAGCTGCTGCCTACTGTCGCAGCACAGGCACTCACAGAGCCACAGGCGTGGCCCCACACAGCTGCTGTCCCCAGGGATAGTGGCCTCTGAGGGTCACAGCAGTCCTGTCAATACCTGTCAGGTCAACACTTGGCACTGGTGTG